CACGATGCAAAGTCGATGTGGACACCTCGATGCCCAAATCAAGCGCCAATCGATCTTTGATCTCTTGGAGCGTGATTTGGACGTCATGCTCCACCCAACTTTGCAGCATGTCGACGTTATCCTCCGTCAGGAGTCGTGATATTTGTTTCCCCCTACATGACAATGTTAGATCGAGTAGACACGACTTTCATACCTCGTTGTTTCGACGTCAACGAGTCCAGATGCAGCCAATTTCGTGCGCTACTGATGTTGACGCCTTTCGCTTGAGCGACGCGCTTCCAGTCCATCGCGTTGTTGAACGCATCAACTATGCGCTTCTTGGCCGACAACGGAATGCGTTTGTACGTTCGTTTGGTGGCGTTTGGGGTGCTGTGTTCTCCATGGTTCACTGTCACGCGGGAGATTTGAAAGTGACGATAAGCGCGCGAGAATTATAGAACCCCCCGTCCGATGTTCTAGAAAAAGCAATTGCCAACTGTAAAGAGTGCACGACACTTTCGAATGATCTAAAGGTTGTTTGGTTGGGTACAAACCAATTCTATAAGGCGCATGGGCATATCGAATGGGCACACGAGGGGGCCGTGCCAAATCCAATGGGCACACCGAACATGGGTACCAAATCCATTGGGCACTCATTCATTCGAATGGGCACGTCACTAAATCCAATAGTGATCTGTCCGAATCCATCGAGAAAATGTCCAAGTCAATTGAAAAATGGTGTAGTACTCCACGCAGGAAATTTTTAATAAAAATCTTTGCTTCAAATTTGTGGTGTGTTGTGTGAGCAGCGTTTCATTGGCTAGGTTTTTTCATGTTGTGACCAGTGATTTCACTTATTTTGAACTTGCAAAACCAATATTCAACTTAAAGTACCGGTATTTGAAGGTTTTTGACTGGTTTGATGCACATGGCAGCAATGGCGCGTAGCAAATCCGGTAGATGATTGCAAATCCCGTAGATGATAGGCGGTGGAGGATTGGCCTCGGGTTCAAGTCCCGGGGAGGGCCAAAATTTTCCCTAAATTAGAATTTTTTGTAATCACATCCAAAATGCAAAAATAATCTATTATATTTCAAAAATTTGAGGGATCGCTTTTTCGAATGACTTCACCACCATTTCGAAGGATATTTTCTCCCAGGCACGGATCGTTCGTTTGACCATTGCCAATCGCTTTTCTTCACCAGTAAAGTCCTCATTCCCCACGCGATTGTCTTCCTCCACTAGCCATTCGGTCTTCAGCATAGCCTTGAGAGGCCCCATCACACCAACATCAAGAGGTTGGCACCGACTCGTACATGCGGCAGCGGCTCTACGAAGCTGAACATCGCTTCGACCTCCTTGTCATGCGACTCCTCTAACACATGGCACTTCAAATTCTCCACTGAGAGGATGGACGCGTCATCCACGCATGGAGACAGTACGTCCTCGAGATTTGTGGACCAAACAAGCTCGTCCATTCTTCTGAACAGAGTAGTGATAGCCTGCCGGGTATGATATTAGTTCAATAGTGCCGCCAAGTTGACCCTTCAGAATAAGTTAAGAGAGGCAGCTTAGTCACTACATATGTTTTCAGTGGACGGTCCACTAACAAGCTTACCGTCTGCTCGAATGGTGAGGACCGCGGCCAGTCGGTCTAAATGCTTCTCACAAGTAACCACTTTGCTCGATTTTCCAACCTCAGCAAGCGTCTTCCCCATGGGCATGTCAAAATACACGGCGGTCTGATCAACATTGATGATGTTGCTGCGATCATAGTGTCCATACCTGTCCAAGAAGGACGCCTCATAGCCCAACCAGACTTCGTCGAGTACCTTCTGCGTGAGATATGCTTGCGCATGGAATTCGATGGCGAAAGTGGTGGCGTTCATCGAAGCGAAGCAGCAAGAAACGAAAGGACTGAAACCCTACACATTCGCGCTTCTTGGACGACAGGAACTGCACGAGCCACGTGTGATGGTTTTTATTGCCCAATTCATCATGTGAAAGAATCGCACGTAGCGCTCTTCGTCTCGATGCATACGCATGAACTCAAAAAGAGCGGGTCCGAAGGGGATGAGTTCCTTTTGGCCTTGGCCACCGATGTTCGCATGGTGGCTGTGACGCTTGCTAGCCATGATCTTGTTCTCTTGCGACCGCCAGGCTTGCCAAGTTGAGTACTTTATGTTGTTGTCGCGACAGAATTGGCGCTCGCTGGTGACTTTGGAGGCATGTAACTTGGTAAGGAGAGCCTTACGTTGCCCACTGCTGTATCTTTGTTGCATGTGGGTGTGTTGTCTGTGAAGTCGCACATGATGAAACGCATTTCGTTCAAATGTTCGCAGTCTCCTCTGCGTAGGGGTAGAGTTTTTTTTTTGGGCGATCAAGTTGTTGTTGTCTGTGCACATAGCATAGTTTAATCAAGTAAAAAAAGTAACCGTCAAAGTGCGTCATAATAAGCTTTCTCAAGATATTCAATGCACTATTTATGACTATAGCTTAGTAAGCATAGTACAAGCAAC